GTGAGTATATTAAGTTAGAGGTAAGGCTCCAGAGTTAGATTCTTTAGGCTTGAATCTTGGCTCTGCTACTGACTAGCTACATATTAGAAAGGAAGTTTCTCAAACTATCTGCATTTCATTGTCCTTATTTGTAAAGTGGGAATAACATCAATAGCTACTGTACAGAGTTAACTGTGAAGATTAAATGTGGTTATATATGTAAAGCATGTGGCATAATGTGCAAGCTTCACTTTATTTTTCAGTACTACTTATTCTGATTATGCTGGTTTAGGATGTGTCCAAGCTACCTTACTGATCACATATTTTCAGCTCTGTTCTAACTGGCTCAAGGTATAGACCGGTTTTGTACATCATTCTCTTTCCTGTGGTTCTACACACAGCATGGGAAAGATAGTGCAACTGTTGTTAATAAAATGAATCAAATGTCATTTATATGGTGTTGGTATTGCTGAGCAGAGCATACAGTATATTATTTCATCTTGCATTTCACCTTTTCACTTTTGTTCATTGTTCCTCTTTTCTTCTCCATTAGTCAGCTCTCCATTAGCCAGCAATCTCAGGCAGATCTATCGCCCATCATTTTAAAAAAAAATACCTAAGTAACCTCACGCCTGTAATCCTAGCACTCTGGAAAGCTAAAACAGATGGATTGCTGGAGCTCAGGAGTTCTAGCCCAGATTGAGCAACAGTGAGACTCAGTGTCTAAAACTGTCTATGTATGAGGAAAATTTAAACAGCAAAATCTAAAAACAGCAAAATTAGCCAGACATCATGGCAAACACCTGTAGTCTGCACTATTCACTACTCAGAAGTCCAAGGTGAGAGGATCATTTGAGCCCAGGAGTGATCACTTGAGCTATGATATCATGGCACTCCACCAAGGGCAACAAAATGATACTCTGTCTCAAAAAATAATAATAAAATTAAATTTAAATTTAAATGGCCAATTGTACTCCAGTGATCAAGTCTTGCTTAGCTATCCTTTGTCATACCTCTTTGTTTATTCACTTGCTTTTATTCCACCTCTACCTTCGCTGTCTAGGATCTTATAATTTCATGCCCTTTGTTAGTGAAATTGTGTCTGATTCAGATTATGGATGCTGAATATTTAGTTTGTAGCCATTGACTAAGAGAAACTGGGAGCCATCTTATCATCACATAAAAAATACATGATATTTATTTAACATATATCCACTTAATCCATAGAAGAGTTTCCTCTGCCTACATATCCCAGGGAAGAGAAAGGAGGCACAGATAAGATATTTGAGAATTGTCCTAAATTTTCTCCCTCTTTTTACTTCATAAATGAGAAAGGCAGACTCAGTTTATAATCTAAAGATAGTGGATATCTGTCATATACTGTCATATTCAGGAATGACTTTCTCATCTGTGAATAATGTAACTTTGTAAAACAAAAAGAATTTGTAAGTCAAAACCTTTACAATGATACTGAGTTGATCAGAGTTCAAGAAAATTCTCTTTGCCTTGCCTTTCTCAAGCAACTATAAAGCACTAGCCCTCTCATCTTGAGAGTAACTCTGACAAAGTTATTTTTTTCACAGCTTAATCCAGATCAACACTTAATTATCAATTTGTTCCATTTCACTTTGTGGACACGCTATCTCCACAAGTGACTACAAATAGAAATATCTAGGAAACTTCTAAAACAAAATTTATCTTGGACTTCTGGAAAAGATAAAGCAATGGGGAGCAGATTTATCCTCCTAAATCAAATAAATCAAGAGTGGGAAAAATAAAACAGTGTCATTCAAAATATTGAATATCAGACAATTAAAGATGGTGATAAATGTTAAAAGAAAAACTTTAGACAAATTAAATTCAACACAGTTTATTTAAACAAAGAATAATTTATGAATCAGGCAGCACCCTGAACAAAGAGAGGTTTAGAGAGCACTACCCCAGCAATGAAGAAGTAATATTTATAGGCAGAAAAAAGATATACAGAAACAGCTTGATTGGTTATAGGTCAGCATTTATCCTATATAGACACGCAATGATCAATTGGAAGCCTATAATTGGTTGTAACTGTGATTAGCTGAGACTCAGCCACTTGTTACAAGAATGTATTGTTTAGTTAGGTAACAGTTCGTTAACATATTGAATTAAGTTGCAGTTCAGTATAAAGGAATTTAAAGTACCCAGGCATCTTTAAGGAAACTTTAATTTAATTTGACATGACAAGATGGAAAACAAATGAGACAAAGTCTATGACTATCCTGGCTTACTGCCTGGAGAAACTTTGAGGAAGTGGCATAGGCAAGAGGAACCTAGGCAAAGCTCTGCAGTCTCCTGATCAGAGTCTTTGAACTAGAACTTCAGGGATGCCAAGAAAACTATAGTTCACACTGGAGAATGCAGTACAGGAGAGAGCTCCTGATGAGGACAAACCCTGAAGACCTGCACAGGGTACAGCATGAATATAAAGAAACTACCCATCACTAGGGGAAGAACTGCTATGACAGATTACAGATTTATATGCCTAGAACTCAGGGAGGGCTGGGCATATTATCTGTCCCTAATCATCAGAGGGAAAAACTCATTCTTGAGGAAGAATTGGTTACAGTACATAATGGTTTTATGTCAGTAGTACAAGAAATTAACCTTGAATTAAAAATTCAGTGCTGGTCCAGCATAACAAAGCTTAAAAACAAAACCAAAAGGATCAAACTGTTTTCAAGTGACTTAACCACACCCCAGAGCAAAATTTTCTAGAATATTTGTAGGAATATAAAAATACATCTCAATGAACAAAATTAAAAAGTCTAAATGTCTGGCTTCTAATAAAAAATTAACATGTATGCAAAGAAGCAAGAAAATACTATCAGTAATGAACTAAAAAAATTAATCAGTTGAAACTGATCCAGAAATGACACAGATGACAGAATTAGAAGACAAAAATATTAATTAAAACAATTGTAATTCATTTCATATGTTCAAGAAGGTGGAAAAAAGATTAAACATTTTAAATAGATTTGTGGAAGATACATAAAAAAACTAAATACACTTATTAAAGACAAAAACTATAATGTCGGAGAAGAAAGGCACACTGGATGGAAATAATGGCAGATTAGGGTAGGAGTCAAGATTGCCAACTAGAAGCCACATTTTCCAGAGGCTCTTGTCCAGAAGGAGAGATATTGGACTGAAATGGACTAAGAGAATCCAAGGGTGAGGAGCTGAGCACAGGGAGAAAAAAGTGAGGTACACATCATCTCCACTGAGACAATGTAAGATCAGGTATGGAGTGACTAGTCAGAAGGCTCCTATTGCCTAGAAGATGGGAGATCCCCCCCTTCCCCGCCAGCTGGGCAGTCTGCAGCAGGTTTTCCATGAGTGAGCAAGGAACAAAGGACCTCTTACCTCACCCCATGAGAGAGTCACTATGTCTTGTTCCTCTGACACCTGGGAGGTTCCATCTCTGAGCCCAGGCCCCATCCTGCCAGAAACAAAAGTGAACAGATATTTTCTCCATAATCTCAAACTTACAGCTCACTCTACACCCAACTCCCTGGTTGCTTGAAGAACTGCCCCCTGCAGAGGACAGAGTGTTTGGTGAGTTGGCTGAGAGACCAGTAGATTGTGTGGGCCACTGAGCTGCTACGTGGAAATAGTGGCTCTGCATTTCTGACTTTGGCAGGTAGAGAGATGAACTTTCCTGACTACCTTTCCTCCTAGAAAAGACCATTCTCCATCCCCCTGGGAATTCTCAGACAAATCTGCCCATAATTTTTTGCTTAGCAACTCTCTGAACTCTTTGAGTGGATTACACCATAATCCTACCAAAATTTCAAAGAGGAACTAGTACCTATCTTGCATAATCTACTCCAAAATATAGAGAAGGAAGGAATCGTCCTTCCTGCTACAATGCATTCTACAAAGCAAATATCAACCTGATTCTAAAACCAGGAAAGTACCCAACAAAAAAAGAAAACTGTAGACCAATATCATTAATGAATATTGATGCAAAAATATTCAATATGATCTTATCAAGCAGAGTACAGCAACACATTAAAAAAGTTATACACCATAGTCAAGTGGGTTTTATCCCAGGGATGCAAGGTCATTGGCTCAACATATGTAAATCCATAAATATAATTCACCACATAAATAAAATAAAAAACTAAAGACCATATGATTCTCTCAGTTGATGCAAAAAAAGGCTTTTGACTACATCCATCATCCTTTCTTGGTAAGAAAACTTAAGAAACAGGTATAAGGGAGGTGCCTGTGGCTCAAAGGAGTAGGGCGCTGGCCCCATATACTGGAGGTGGTGGATTCAAACCCAGCCCCAGCCCAAAACTGCAAAAAAAGAGAAAGAAAACAGGGACATTTTTTAAACTGATAGAGACTATCTACAATAGCACCCAATATCATATTGAATGTAGTTAAAATGAAAGCATTTCCACTCAGAGCTGGAACTAGACAAGGATGCCCTCTGTTACCATTGCTATTCAACATAGTGCTGGAAGTCCTAGCCAGTGTAATCAGGGAAGAGAAGGATATTGAGGCCATTCAAATGGGGGTAGAAAGGAAAAACTCTCCCTTTTTGCAGATGATAAGATTTATACTTGGAAAATTCTAGGAAATCAACTATAAAACTCTTAGAAGTGATCAAGGAATACAGCAATGTCTTTGGATAAAAAAATCAATGTCAACAAATCAGTAGCCTTTATATATGCCAATAACACTCAAGCTGAGAATATAATCAAAGACTCTAATCCCTTCATATTAGCTCCAAAGAAGATGAAATACCTAGGAATATATCTAACAAAGGATATTAAAGATCTCTATATAGAGAACTATTAAACCCTGAGAAAAAAATAGCAGAAGACATTAAAAAATAGAAGAACATACTATACGCAAGTGAAGAATTAGCATCATTAAAATGTCCATATTACCCAAAGCAATGTAAAGATTTATTGGAATCCTCATCAAAGCACTAATTTTTTGCTTTATTTTTTGTTTTTTTGTTTTTTTCCTGCAAGTACACTGTTTATTTTGAAAGGCTTTTGCAATGCACATAGTGGAGAGTCTCCAGGAAGCTGTTTTATTCTTCTCCCTCATCCTCATCCTCAGAGGAATCAATGCTCACTTCCTCATAATCCTTCTCCAGGGCAGCCGTATCCTCCTGGGCCTCAGAGAACTCCTGTTCCTTCATACCTTCACCCGTATACCAGTGCACAAAAGCCCTCTTGGTATACATCAGGTTGAACTTGTGTTCCAGGCAGGCCCAGGCCTCAGCGATGGCAGTTATATTGCTCAGCATGCACACGGCACGCTGCACCTTGGCCAGGTCACCCCCAGCCACCATAGTGGGAGGCTGGTAGTTGATACCAACCTTGAAGCCAATAGGGCACCAGTTCACAAACTGAATGCTGCACTTGGTCTTGATGGCAGCGATGACAGCACTGACATCCTTGGGCACCACTTCTCCATGGTACAGCAGGCAACAGGCCATGTACTTGCTGTGCTGAAGGTCACACTTCACCATCTGGTTGGCAGGCTCATAGAGGCCAATTACACATACATCAATGTTACAGAGTAATGAAAATTTTTCTTACTGTTTGTGGTCCTTAAAAGTTTACAAAGCAGGGAGTTTGCAGTCTCTTTTACACTTCACAAGTGCAGTCCTGGAGAGGAAATAACATTTTTCTTCACTGGGATCAAGTCTACCCATTTGTCTACGTAAGCTAAAAAAAAAAAAAAAAAGATCGATGAATACTTCTTAATACATTTTTTCTAATTTATCTTTAACAAAAATAACTACTCTAATAAAATGATTATGGAGCCTGCAGTTGGGGGGAGGGTTGTTGTTGTTTGCTTCTGTTTTTTGAGACAGATTCTTACTCGGTTTGCCCAAACTAGAATGCTGGGGTTTCAGTCTAGCTCGCAGCAACCTCAAACTCCTAGGTTTAGGCGATCCTCGTGCCTCCTCCTCCCAAGTAGCTGAAGTAGCTGAGACTACAGGAACACCCCACAAAGCTAGGATAATCTTTTGTATTTTTAGTGGAGACAGAGTCCCACTCTTGCTCAGGCTGGTCTCAAACTCCTGAACTCGAGGATCTGCCTGCCTTGGCTTCCAGACTGCTAAGGTTAGAGGCATGAGCCACCATGGTTGGCTATGAAGCCTGCAGTTTGAAAAATGCTATGTGTTTTTAATTGTTGAATCTGAGTAATGAGTGCATGAAGGTTCATTATTTCAATATTATTCTTGGTGTAAGTTTGAAATATTTCATAATAAACATGTTAATAAGAAAAAGAAAAACCACAGACTGAGAGAAAATATTTTCAAATGATCTTCCTGATCAAGGACTTGCAACCAGAATTTATAAAGAACTCTTAAGACTCTATAATAAGAAAGTAAGCAACCAGATAAGACCAAATGATTTGAACCACATTCCATCAGAGGAAATACACATGAGGAAAAATAAACACATGATAAAATGCTCAAGATTAATAGGCATTGATGAAATGAAAAATAAAGCCATTATGAAATATTGCTCTATAAACCTATTAGATTGGCTGAGATTGTAGAAAAACATGATCTCTTTTGCAGTATTTATAGAATGTAAATTGGTGCAACTACTTTGGAAAGCAGTTTATGAAAATGTTAAACATACAAGAAACATATAATACAAATATTCCACTCCTAGGTATTTACCACAGTTAAAAGAAAACATGTATCCCTATTAGACTTGTGCCGAATATTTATAATAGCTTTATTTTAAATAAATCCAAACTGAAAAATCCACATTAGGGTGAATGATATGCTTGATATCTTGATTATGGTCTTGGTTTCATGACTGTTTTCATATGTGGAAATTTATTCAACTGTGTAAACGCACACAGTTAATTGCATGCCAATTAAATTCAATAAAACACTTAAACAATTATTCATATTACTCATCCATATGATTGACTGGCTTTTAAGAATACAAACTTAGGCCTCTTTGGAACATTATTACTAATTGTTGTCATTTGAGGTCAATTCAGCTCAAATTATATCAAGATATATTCATGATATTTAGGAAATACAGCTGCCTTCTCAAGGGACTTAAAGTGCAACTCAAAACACTATTGATGTATTTATTCACTTGCCTAAGCCAAGCCCTTCACTAGGTGGTGGAAACTGAAAGATAAATAAGAAATAGTCTTTGGGGTACATACAATAGAGAATGATACATGTTTGCAAAGGGTAATATTGGAGTACACGAGAGGGATTCTTTGGCCAACTTTGGCTGTTCAGGGAGGTCTTCTTGGTATGGTGAAATCTAAGCTGAGTATTAATGGAGTTAGTCTGACAGCAACTGGTGAGCTTAGAGGGGCACTACATACAAATGAATCAATATGTATATATAAATAGAGGCAACAGAGAACGGAGTTGGATTTGGTACAAGAGCTTCTGTATGGCTGAAGTTAGAGAATAGGTCTTGGAGGTATGGGCAAGAAAAGGAAATCAGATCATGAAAGGCCCCAGGTCATCTTAAGGAGTTTGCATCATTCACCAAGAGTGATGGAATGGCTCTGAAAGATTTTTATTAGGAGCACATGTGTGAAATGTTATAGGAAAAAAATCCCTCTGTGATGAGTAGAACTGAAGACAAGGCTCGATACAGGAAGCTGTGTTAGGAGAGTAAAATAATCATCGATTTAAAAGATGATGGGAGCCTGACCACAACTGTGGAAGTGGGATTTGAGATACGAATAATTTGAGAACTATTTCTTGGTTTCTATGGTGAGAAAGGAGTCAAAAAATACAGAAAAAGCAGGAAGAGGTGGCAAGTTCAATTCCAAATACCTAGGCATGCCTGTGGTACTCCTAGAAAGACATGTGACAGGGGAACGGAACTCAACATTATCTATAATAATTTTTCCTCAAAATATAGAGCTTGATTCAAATAAAATTACAGAAATGTTAATTCTTGTTAATGTAGATGAGTGATACATATAACAAACTTTATTTTGTTTTGCTATAAATTTGAAATATGTCAAAACTTTAATTTAAAAAAAATGAAAAGAGATACGATACCATGACAAACTAGAAGCTAGTATAATTACATTTTCTATGATTTAACTAAAACCTGGATAAACTAACAAGCTAAGGTTTTAAGACACTGCCTGAATTCACACACACACAAAAAAAGGGTGGGGGAGAACATTATCAAACCCCATTATAAAAATTGTTTTTTTAAAAAAAACTGATGCTATCTTCCTGGGATTTAAAATCTAATCTTAGAATGAATCTAAGACATCTTCATTACTTAGGAATCCTCAAAAGGGAGTAAAGTGCTGACAAACACAAACTCAAATAGTTTCTAGGGGGAGTTAGCTCCAGTTTAGGCCCTCAGGATTGGCTCAGATCAAATTTGGTAAAGAGCTCACACACGCATAAAACAAGGAAGAAAGACCCCAAGAATGATAGTCAGCAAAAGAAGAAATAAATCTAAATCCTAAGTACTTCATATATTAGAATTACCAGAAAAAGAATACTTACGCTTACAATGTTAAAAGAAATAAAATATTAAATTTTGAAAAACAAAATGAATGGAGAACAAACAACTATCAAAAACCCTGCAGATTTACATAAGAACACTCTCAGAAGAACATTTCTACGAAAAGAAAAACATGGTGATTAAAATCAATGAATGAAGTAAATAACAGATATAACTAAGAAGAGATCTGGTAAGCTGTAACACAGAGCTGAAGAAGTTACTCCCAATGAAAGAGAGAAATAATGGGTGAGAAATTACAAAAAAGAGGTTAGAAACATGGAAAATAGAGACCGTCTTAGTTTAAACCAAAACAGAATGCTAAGAATGAAAGAGAGGCCACATGGGGACAATGGCTCAGAATTACCCAAAACTGCTCAAATACATGAATAAGCAGAGCGAATGAACACAGTGGAAAACAAGCGGGATAAATAAAAAGAAATGCACCCCAATACATTTTAGGGAGACTACAGAGCACTGAAGAAACAGTGCCTTTCCCTCCCAAATGTCAGGCAGCCTAACAGCAGACATATGAAGACCAATAACAGAAGCCAAATAATCTCATCTGCTGAGAGATGATTACTGTCAATTCAATGTATTGAGCAAAATTATCTTTTAAGAATAAGATAGTTAAAGTTAATAAATACTTATAAAATACCAGTTAGATGAATGAAGACAAGACTAGATATAGGAAGCTCCATTAGGAGACAGAAATAATCATCAAATTAAAAAGTGATGGGAGCCTGAACCACAACTGTGGAAGTGTGAAGTATTTCACTATACTAAACACATATAGTAATATAGTACAGGCATAGAATGTGCAGTTATAGATGTCATAGCATATTATAAATCACCATAATGAGTATGGTGCCAGTAAAACATAATTTAATATGAAACAAAAGGATGAACAGAGTTATTTAGTAAATAACCCTAGAAGCGTTCTTACAAAGGCAGCAACAGGCAGTATAACCACTATCTCTACTAAAATTTCATGTTACTCTGGAATTAGTATCCAATGCAATTAAATAAGATAAAACAATTACAAATATAAGAATAAAAAATTAGAATATCTCTATTCATTTTTTAATTAATGAATTAGTTTTTATTTCAGGTTAATGAGAGGATACAAACATCAAGTTTACAATGTTTTCATTTATTAGGTAAAGTCCCTCTGTAGTTGTCTCCTGCACCCAAGATGTGTGCCATACACCCCTATGTTGTGTCCATTAAATGGGAGCACACCAATCCTCCTCACCTCCCTCCTCCCGTTTTTCCCCTCCCTCATTCCTCCTCCCCCCATCTTTAGGCAAGTATCCAAGGTACTCAATATTAGCTTGAAGCCAGTAGATGATCTAAAACATGCCCACATGGGAGAAAACCTCAATTCAATTCAAGAATATCTCTATTTAGATATGATAAGATAATATATCTGGAAAACTCTAGAGAACTATGATTGAATAAACCCACAATAATAGATTTCAAGAAAACAGTCACGTTCAATAAAATTAACATGCAATTAACAATGCTATTAACATATGCATATAAAACTAATAGATAAGGACAACTCCATTTACATTAAGAACAAAAAGATAAAAAAGAATAAACTTAATATGAAATAACAAAAATCTATGCTTTTTAAAACACTATAATACTCTTCTGAAAGACACAAAATAGCCATGAATGATATCTCCTCTTGATTAGAAAAGTTTAGCCTCATTAGGGTAGCAGTTCTTATCAACTGGTTTACAAAAATATAGTCAAAATAAAACATGGAAATGAGATTTTTTTCATGGCGATAAACAAATTGTTGTCATAGTACACTTTAAAAAAGCAACATGTAAGAATATCTAGGATAACACTGAAGAAGGAAATAGGAAACTATTCCCACCACACATAAACATATACTACAAATCTACTATACTTAAAATAGTGTTATACAGATAAGGTAATAGACCAAAAAGGCAAGACACACATTCAGAAACGGACCAATAAGATCTTGAAATCTCATGTATTAT